ATCTTCAAAGTAATAAAAATCATCTCTATTTCTGTAATTGTTTTCCATTTTATCACCTAAGACCATGAAAACGCAAATACATCGATAAATACTATACGAAAATACACCCCAAAGTCAGCATTTTAATCCAAAAAAACGATCTGAGTTTTTTTTTTCTCATTACGCACTGTGTGCTGCAGGATTTTTTTTATGTGGTGCACACTGACCACACAGACCCATTCTCTCACATGTGGGCCTACCAGCTTTCTTCCGCTTGATTTAAAGCCGCTAGAATTATTGAGTATACGTATATACGTCTGAAACACCGGCTCGTAAGACGTATATATACGACCAAAACAGTCAAAGGGTTAAACAGCTTTTTCAGCATCTCTTCATCCATATGCATTTGAAACCTATTTCATAGTGTAGTATTTGCATTTTTCTTAATTTCATTTATACTACTTTCCAGCAGAAATATTGTATTAAGAATAGCGTAGTCTTGCACCACCCCATTTTAATGTACAATATTATCACAATCCTAGGTAGTACGTTGGTAGACAGCAACTGCCCAGGGAGGTACTACCGTCCTGCCAGATGAGTGTAAAACGAAAGCCTGTAATTGTTTTACATGATGGTAGGATTGCTGGTGTCCATTTTTTTGTCTCATAAACATGCAAGGTTTCAGGTATGTCTTGCTACTTCTACTTACACTTAAGTCACACTACACATACATGTACAAGCATATATATAGACACCCCTCTGGGTTTTCTTCTATTTTCTTTCTAGTTCTTGTTCTTGTTTATTTCCTCTTATCTCCATGGGAAAGTGGAACAGAATTCTTCCTCCGTAAGCCATGCGTGATGTAAGAGGCGACTAAAATGCTGGGAGCAAGGGGCTAGTAACCTCTTCTCCTGTATATACTATTACTAAATTTAGAGGAGAAACTTTTGTTTTTCCTTTTGGGCCACCCTGCCTTGGTGGGATACAGCCGTGTTTTTGAAAGAATATCACATAATGTCATAATTATTATTATACTACAAGAAAAATGACATATTCACATGTAAACAATATTGACCTTTTTATTACTTTTAGGAGGACTCGATTAGAATGGTACTGGGGGAGATGACAACATTGTTTGAGCAAAATCAGCGTGATGTGTAAGTTTTTTATATATGTATAGCGTATGGTTATACTGCATTCAGTTATTGATATTTGTTCCTCTGAATCAGTAAGGTACATACACTATAAAATTACATTATTTTAAATAACTCTTGATTCTATTTTACATTTATATTTAAAAACTCCCTGCTGAACTTTGTATATATTGTATATTTACTGTACTTCCTCTCCATCTACAACGGGCCCAGGCTCACAAACTGGAAACTTAAGTTTCCATGCTTAAATCTTGGCTATTATGAGCTTCTTTCATTGGCTTGAGTTTCTCCTAAGAGGAAGTGTTGTTCGAGTACGAACACATTAGGCTCCACACAATGTTGGTTGGATGACGTTAGTGCTTCTCTTAACATGAGATGAACATTCTTCTCATGCTTAATGCTTATTTCAGGATCCTCCTCCTATGTCTATTTCCAGGCAGGGCAGAGAATTCATTTGCAGGCTTAAATGTACCTTGCATGAGCCTTTCCACACATGGATTCCTTAGAAGTTTTTTATTTGTCATATTGGTGTTTATCACCTCCAGCCTCTCCTCCACTATTTTTTCCCAAAAACAGAATGCTTTCTTTATGCAGACAATGGTATTCTTTTTGACTTTTGCTTTGGGAGCCTAAGTGGGGGCCCTACATGCTTTGCAATGGTCATCTGATCTGTTGTTATTTTTATCTGAGGAAGCTCATTTATTCTCACCCCAAGGTTAGATTTTTTTTCTTTAGAACAAGGGAGTACAAACCTCTCACTGGATAAGTGACAGTTACGGGTTTGCCAGAAAATTCTTTACTATTACTGTAAGCTCTCTACAGATGAGTCTGTTTATTCCTCTGGCTTCAGGGCTCACTGCCACCTCCAGATTCTTTTTTCTAGTTCTATGAAGCAATTCTTTATACTGCATTTTGCAATACAGGAATACATTCTTCTCTTCCAGTACAGCACTGTTTATGAGATGATAGAATCAGATGTGCAAACGTATCTTTTGGTTATATAACAGGGAATGTTTTTTTTTGATAATGCATGCATAGTTGAAAAAATGTACTTTACATTATATCATATACAGTGGTCCCTCGCTTTTCGTAGTTCTCGGCAATCGTAAATTTCGCCAATCATAGGGGTATTTTCGTATAAACATGGACTCGCTTTTCATAGGTTGACTCGCGAATAGTAGTTCGTCCGGGGGGCCTCCCTACCCAGCCAGTCTGGCATTGTTTATCAGTGAGTGAAGGTCCCCTCAAGTGCTCCTACGAAATATTTCATAATATTCCACTCATTTTAGTGCTTGCAAATATTAAATAAGCTGCCATGGCTCCAAAGAAAGCCCCTAGTGCCAAGCCTGTGGTAAAGAAGGTGAGAAATATGTACAGTGACAAAGTCTTGGGCCATTTTTAGGGAAGTGTTAAAGAGACGCCAGAAACAGAGCTCTCTCCACAGTTATTTTTGCGAGACAGGACTAGAGTGACTCTCAAGGTGGTCCTAGTGGCATTAAGAACAGAGAAGAGAAGCAATTGGTACCTGAGGTGTTGCTGGAAGGGAATTCCCCTTCCAAACGGTAAACAATCCAATCTCCTCTCCTCCTCCAGTCTCCCATACACTAAGAAGAATCTCCAGTAAAGGTAAGTGTTATGCTGTTAATGTTTCATTCATCATTTCCATTGTATTGTTTATGTACTACATGTATATTTCATGTAAAAAATTTTTTTGTTTTAATACTTCTGGGTGTCAGGAACGGATTAATTGTATTTACATTATTTCTTATGGGTAAAATTGATTCGCAAATCGTAAATTTCATTTATAGTAACGGCTCCAGGAACGGATTAATTACGAAAAACGAGGGACCACTGGTGGCCTGGTGGTTAACGCTCTCGCTTCACACGGTGAGGGCCTGGGTTCGATTCCCAGCCAGAGTAGAAACATTGGACGTGTTTCTCTCCACCTTTTTGTCTATGTTCCCCATCAGTAAAATGGGTACCTGGGTGTTAATCGACTGGTGTGTGGTCGCATCCTGGGACACTGACTAAGGAGGCCTGGTCACAGACAGGGCCGCGGGGGCGTTGACCCCCGGAGCTCTCTCTAGATAAACTCCAGATAGTGAACAGTTCTTTTAAATCTCAAATGATTTTTATTTTGTTAGTTGTGCTACATGTTCAATAAGCTGCAAGTAATTTTATATACCTTGCAGCTTATATGTAATTTTATTTCTTGTATATTTTCTTAAGGAATGCAACAGTACAGGTGATGTACGATTTTTTTCTGGAGTTCATTTACGACATGCTGCTTTGGAGAGAAATAAAAGATGTTTGCTGCTTACTTGTAAGTAGAGGTCATTTTGTCGTTTAAAAAAAGTTATATCATCTAGATAAAGGTAGATTGCATTTTCAAGTTAATTTAATCTTTGTGGAATATAAATCAGATAGTCTTTTGAAGATTTATTTAATTACTGGTACCAAAAATTAAAATTTGCAAAATTATCTTGATTTGCTTGGTCACTGTAGTGCTGCAGGATCTCCTGTTATTTGTCCTTCTAAATTTTTATTCCCATAATATAAACAATAGATAAAGTTTGAAAACAAATTTTGTAGAAGCTTCAAGACCAGTGGGAGAGAGAAAAACTTAAATGAACCTGAAATAATTATTAGTTTTATAGCTTCAAGGCAAAAGAAAATTGAGAATAACATGATTATTTATTTGTGTATATTAAAGCTCAATGTGTTGTTCTTCCCTTGACCTTCATCTCTAAATGAATATAATTCTGTAAAAATAATGAATTTGAATACTGTATGTTGTTATGCTACCTTTATTGATATTTATCAGTTTTACTGCACATGGGATGTTAATTTTAAAGTTTAAAAAACTAAAATAATTACTATACACAAACTTTTAGCAATAAATGTTTACCATTCATTACAGATACAACAGGTTGGAAAGAATTAAAGCTATGCGCTGGGAATTTGGCAGTATTCTACCAGCAGAAATTCGAGCCAATATATGTGAACCTGAGTCAGTTAATTTTATTTGTAAGATTTCATGCATTTATTTGAATGTAATACTTTTTTATCGTGTATTCTGCTCATTGATTTCTTTGTTTAAGTATTGGTGTGTTCTTGATGAGTGCTGTCCATACTTTCATCTGACTAGCTTCCATTCATTGATTTTTCTTTACCATATAGATTAGTACATTTTTTCTTCTTTCAGCAAACTAGCCATATCCCATTGAGGCAGGGTGGCCCAAAAAGAAAAACAAAAGTTTCTCCTTTTAACTTTAGTAATGTATACAGGAGAAGGGGTAACTAGCCCCTTGCTCCTGGCATTTTAGTCGCCTTTTACGACACGCATGGATTACAGAGAAAGAAATCTTTTCAACTTCCCCATGGAGATAAGTACGATGTACGGTGCCCCTTGGCTGGTGGCAAAAGTTCTCGCTTCACACGGTGAGGGTCCAGGTTTGATTCTCGGCAAAGGGGTGGAAATGTTGGATGCATTTCCTTACACCGGCTGTCTATGTTCACCCATCAGTAAAATGGGTACCTGGGTGTTAGTCAACTGGTGTGGGTTGCATCCTGGGACAAAACTGACCAAATTTGCTTGAAGTGCTCTGCATAACAAGCGGCTTTCTGTATAGCAGTATGTCATTGATGTCAGCTAGGCCTGTATACCTTGTACATGTACTTGTTGTAAATAAAGTTATTATTATTAGTATTATTGATTTGTATTCCCTGGAATGCAGGCGAGAGATACATGATTATATAAACTAGGAAAATCCTAGAGGAACAAGTCCCAAATTTACACATGAAAATCACTCCCTATGAAAGCAAAAGACTTGCAGGAGATGCAACATCCCCCAATGAAAAGCAGGGGTGCCATGAGTACGCTAAGAGAGACAGTGAGTGTCAGGGGCCTAAGACTGTTCATCTTCCTCCCAGCATACATAAGGGGGATTACAAATAGAAACCCCCGGCTATCTTCAGGAAGGCACTGACAGGCACCTAAAGTCAATACCCGATCCCGAGCTTAGTTTGGGTTTTTTTTGCGCAGCCACAGAAATGCCTTTTGGTTGAC